TCTAACCATAGTAAATGTATGAAATCGATGTACTTCTGGCGCGTCACGACACGACACGTTCATATGTTTCTGGCTTTATGCATGCACCACGGTAATATTATCTATACAGTATTGTGACTCGGCCCTGTCCTTGAAATAACTGCCTTCGGCCGAGCGGGGCGTAAACACGCGGTAGGGCTGCCCGCTTTCAGTATTTTAATTTCATCTACATAATTAAGTTTCTTTCTAGTTTTGTGATTGTAAATATTTTATTTGTAGAAAAAAATGTGAATGATGATGAAGGAAGTGTTCAATAAAATATTTGTTATTTTTAGGTATATTTAATAAAAAAATAATATAGATTTGAGACAGAAAAATATTTACGCCTCGACTGAGACGTACGAAAAGCTTTATTATTAAATTTATTAGTATAATAAATATGCATTCTTATAAAAAGTTTAATTATTGATGAGTTCAAGCAACCAAAAACAGCACAATATCGACTATTGCTCTTTGCCATATAAAATTATGTAGGTATCTACTTAATTCAATCAAATATTCACAATACAAACGTTTAAGCGCGGCCAACTGCTTAAAAAACAATTGACACCGTTCGGTCGTCGCTGCGGCGCATTCGCGACTGGATGCCCACCGGGTGCCGCGCGAACTCGAGTGGCGTAGGTATGACATGCTTTCCGACCGTTTGTATGAAGATAGAATATTGTATAGATAATATTACCGTGCATGCATTTTGTACCGACCATAATAATAAAAAAACAATACATAGGCATGTGACTAAGTTATTTTCTTATCCAAACTTTAAATATAAGGCCTCAACCCCATCAAGGCGCGTTTTATCGGTCGATAATAATTATCGGATGCGTTATTGCGACAATGCCCTACTTCCATTGTTTCGTTATTATCGCAGCAGAGTGTAATTTTGTAGACGTTCTAATATAATTATAATGGTGTCAATTCTGGTACTATTCTCTTAACATATGTCTCCCCTTTTCATTCTGTATAGAGAATGACAATGAAAAATTCCAGTCCCTGTAGCAAAAGCACCACAATTTACATTGTATCACGTGTTTTATCGCGTAACTCCATCGTGTTTTATCGCGTCTAACTGTCAAACTCCATAGTAATTTGACAATTGAGCGCGATAAAAACGAGTTAATGTCATATCGCGGTGCTCATGATACCAATGTATCCTTGTCATACTCCATACATAATGAAAAGGATGGACTGATGTTAAAGTTGTTAAATGTTAATTTAAATAAAACTCAAAGGTGACCGACTGACATAGTGATCTATCAACGCACAGCCCAAACCACTGCACGGATCGGGCTGAAATTTGGCATGCAGGTAGATGTTATGACGTAGGCATTCGCTAAGAAAGGATTTTGATCAATTCTACCCCCAAGGGGATAAAATAGGGAATGAAAGTTTGTATGAAACTTTGTCAATTTGAAACTGATCGGGCTGAGACTTTGCATGCAGGTATAAGAAGAATCATAGATGAATGTCATTGTGTATAATACAAGCCTGAGAACAAAAACTGTAGTCTACACTTCAGCTCTACACCGAAGCGAAGCGAGGGCGGGCCGCTCGTTGTTAATAAGTTGTCATGTGATTTGAAGATTGTGGAAGAAGAAATAAAGATTATTATTATATTATTATAAGTTTCGAGAATCATCGCAGAATCGACACCAATGTACCAACTAAAAACAGATATCGCAATAACGCATTCAATATTATGGATCGATTATAACGCCCCTGGCTTAAGGGATCTCAGAAAAAGTAACAGTCAGACAGACAATCACACCCCAGATCCATTAACATAAAATATTGCTTCTTAGGTTTTCACGCACAACTTTCACTTATTATTTATTTATTGACGCTTCTGAATAATGATTTATTTTACTTTGTCGAGCTACCCTCCAAAGACTTTTATTGATTTTCGAAACGTCAATAAATAAAAAAAATCAGTGCATCCATACCGTTGAAACTTGTTTTATTTAATAAAATATTGGTGTCGATTTTGGCATGATTTTCTAAACCTATACTTAAATTTGACAACAGTGTATCATTTTCTATACAGAACGAAAACGAGAGACTCATGTTAAATTTAGTTTTAAGTTTAGAGAATTATGCCAGAATCGACATCATTGCATCAGTAACAATTCATCAGTTTCACATACAATACAAGACTCGACCGCATATTCTATCATAGTCTGTGCGGAAAGAGAATGGGCGTGGCGAAAAACGGAACTAACATTAAGATTTTTATTTGGCAATCAAACCAGCAATCTGTAAAACGGAAGTTTTGTATTGATACTGATTTGTTTGTTGTTGTGATTTCTTGCGGTTTTTTGTATTTAATCATGTCTAAAAGGGGTAAAACCTTACAAATACGGTAGAAAAGCACTACAGCGCCCTCCAATCTAAATCACATTCTCTTTCCGCACAGACTCTAGTGGACATTTGTGTCACCAAGTCACATTGAAACTAAAAATTACTCTAGAACATATAGCTGCGTGTTGCGTTATTAAACTTCGCTTTGTAATATTACTGACACGACTGCAGTTGCAACTGTTCACGATGCACTTCAATAACTGTTTTTACAATCGGATTTTGTCACTAATTAAAAAAAAAACGCAACTAACACAGGAAACTGGTCACGTAACGTCCACATGATATTCTCTAATATTGCTTATCACTTGCACTTTGAACACTGATCCGATTGAATTTAGCACCGGATTCACAGTCCCCGAAACATTGATTCAAGCACCGAAGTTCTTTAATAATTATAATAAATGTTTATTTCAGGCACAATAATCAACGATATTAAATACCTTAGATTCACCACGAGCGCTCAAAATGTGTCCCTATCAAGAAGTGCTTGAACACCACACAAGCACTTCTTGGTTCACAGTCACACGCGTACAGAAAAATCAACATGCCGCTGAGCTCCGTGAAAAAATGCGAAATGAATACTTATAGTATGTAAAATGTCGTTTTTTCTACTGATATCTCATCAATGTTTATTAATTTAAATCATTTGAACCCGATTTAGTTTTAATACTTACTATAAACTGGTTTAATAGAAAACATTTGTGATTATTCAAAGGCATGGTCGATAATATAGCCGTCTCTTTCCTCGCGGTCCGTGCCTGCTATATTGGTAACAGCGCATTCAGAATTGAGCGTAGAGTCAAAGAAATAAGGTCTATATTCTTCCGCATATAGCAATAAGTCGTAAAATTTTACGAGCTAACATCTCGGACTGTCATAGCTCTTTGACGCATCCGCTTTGATTAAGACCTTATATAGTGTGCTTTAAAGGTGATTTTCAATGTTTAAACATAACGACTTATATTGTTTAGACTATGCGATTATCTTACGGAGCTCCGTGGATCGTCCAATGTACCTTTTGGACAGATTTCGGGCATGATTTTGTTCGTGTTTGTGTATCTAGGGTATTTAATATCGTTGACAATAACCCGTTTTAATAATTACAATTACAATTTGTGAATAATTAATCAAATTGAAAAGCAAATCATGTTTAATGGCGGCACATTGCTTGTCTATTCGTGTTTGCTGTTTGTATACTTGACATTAAGTCTGTTCTTTTCGTTACTTATAAAGCATGACAAGGATAGACTGTTGTCAAGTTTACAAATAACAAATTCCAATTAATAATAAGCGTAATTATATCTTTATTTGGATTTAAACGAATGATGTGTTAAACAGCATTTAGCTTGCAGCAACACTTTTAAATCAAATTTGAACGCTGCAAGTGGCGCTAAGAGTTCCAATATTTCCAAGCGGTTTAAAATCACACGAATGTGAATTCTTAGTTCTATACTTCATTCCAGATAACATTAAAAAGAAGTACAAAGATTTTTTGCCGGGATTTAATCGAGTGCGGTTGGCGTGTTATTTTAATTATTCTTAAATTCGTTCATAGTGGATATTGTGAAATAAAATGTGTGATTTGGTGGTACAACCGTCCGCGCAACTGTACAATTAGTGGAATCTTTTAAATATACGCTATTCCGGTCAAGTGGACTTGAGAATTTCATTGTAGTGTTGACTACCTCACAGAAGCTTATCGAAAAATCCAACACGATACATTTCGTGCCAAACACTCTTGGAAAGAAATATAAAAATAAAAGAAAATAATATAACTAAAGACTAAGCTGTATTAGGGTATTGTTCCCTTTACCTTCCCTTAAACGGGAGAAAATTAAAAAAAGAAGTAAAAAAGGTTCTTTTAAAGGTGCACTTTGCCATAAAAAAGAAAAAGAAAGAAGGTGCACTTTTTTACTTTTTTTACTTTGACATTGGCTGAACGCACAAACCGTGCATGCCATAAAAAAGAAAGAAGAAGAAGGTGCACTTTTTCAAATCATAGTGGTAATAAATGTTTAATTAAGCTTTTGTCAATTTATGCGTGCAATGTACAAGCACAGCCATCAACAATTACCTACATAAAACATAACTATTGACTATTTATATTATAATAAGACTCATTTGAAAGCAAAAATATTACTTCATGATAACTACACATTACAAAATGGTTCTGTTAAAAAGCCTAAAGAAGCAGAGGTTTGCTACCTGCATTGAAACGTTTTGGTATAATGCGACCAAACTAAAAGTGTGTGAGAGAGAGAGAGAGAGAGAGACAGAATCATTTTTAAAAGTGAGGATGTACGATGATGATTATTGATGATACAGATGGAGAAATTTTAGCGTTTTGATTCCACTGGATGGAATATCGTGTCAAATATGATTATCATATTTCATCATTATACATGACATGAAGAGGTTTCGAAACCCTACTTCTTTCAGCTTCTTTTTTTTAAAGTTATCCGAAATGAAGTATAGTATAGATTTTATCAAAGGCGAGTGACACTTGTGAATGTTAATTTCTGTATATCCTGTGGACGCTAACACCTAAGTCACTTGTCCTTGTGGACGTTGGCCCCCGCAGACAGCAGCTCCGTAGACATTGGCTCCTATAGACATTGGCCCTTGGACCATGGACCATGGCTCATATAGACGTTGGCTCCGGTGGACACTTGCCCCTGTGGACCCTTCCCGGTGGACACTGGCCCCGATAGACATTGGCCCCGGTGGACACTGGCCCCGGTGGACACTGGCCCCGGTGGACATTGGCCCCGGTGGACACTGGCCCCGGTGGACATTGGCCCCGGTGGACACTGGCCCCGGTGGACATTGGCCCCGGTGGACACTGGCCCCGGGCTCATGGTCCTCATCACGCGAGCCGGGAGCCACACGACGTATAGAACAGTATATAGGCGGCGCTTGATTTCACTTCACCCGCGGATATCTCTGTCACCACGTGGTCGTCGTATTTGTACCATCTGAAGAAAGATTATGCATTAATTAAGTAGTAACCTTATGGCGCAATTACATTTGGTCGTAAGCCTGTATTGAACGAAAGACACTACTCAAATAGGGTATTTGACAGTATTAAAAATAAAGTGCCAATTGTTAGCATCTGTGTTTAGAATGAATATTGGCAGGGGATTTTACTATTTTTACAAAAATAAAATATTCTTAATTTTACTAAAAACCCACGAAATAGATAATAGTTTTCTTATCTACTGTCACGTGACCCAAAACGCTTGGGATTGGCGGAGCCTAAAATGACGTCACACGCAAGTAAACTTCCGGTTAAAGTGACAATACAGTGTATCGTTTGACGTTTTAATAACAGTCGTGTGACGTCACACACTAGTAAGACGCCATATTGTGCAGAGAAACGTTTTCGCGGCAACATGAAAATGGAGTTTTTGATTTGGTTATTTTTACTGAAATACACAACAGAATGATGAATATCCACGGACTCCATAAACATTAGTCAATAACGTGAGATCGTTTTCTAAAACTTGTCAAATACCCTATTCAGGCACCCGAAGCAATATTTACACTGGAATACGGTGTCGGGTGAACAAAAGGCAATCTACCCGAATATGGGCGTACTCGACTCCGATCATTTACACTTAGACTTTTACCCGAATTCCATTGACACTCGTTTTCGAGCTAACGAACAAGTTTAATCGCGTCATTAGATTTAAAAAATGGAAGTTCTAGTACTCTTTATCCTGCGTCAAATAAAAAATAATCCGACTGAACTACACAAGGATTTCTTATAGAAAGATTCTCAGTAATGAATCTAGTCTTGAGCATAGTTAGAAAGGGATGTCGCTATATATAGCACATAGCGACATCCCTTTATAATTGTACTCAAGTAGAGACCAACACTAAGTTGTCGTTCTGTAATACGGGCCTAAAACACACACAAATATGATTGTAAATAAACGTTCAATCAAGAGAGCAAGACCGAACTGTACCCCTAGCACGAATCATTATCGAATTCGAATAGTTTGCAAACCGAAATGTCAATGTCAAATTTTGTATGGAAACTTGAACGGCAGCAGCACAAAGTACGTAACGAGAACTAAAAATCAGTACACATTTGACAATGATATTTCGGACTCGCAAACGATACGAATTCGATATTGGTTCGTGCTAAGGGTACAGTTCATTTCAATGCAGCGTAAGGTAGTTGGCGAGGCCTCGTCGCTTGGCAATCGACTGTTTTCGTCGTTTTCTTTTCTTTCTCTACAAACAGCCAAGCATGGCTGGCTGTATTGTTGTCCTTTTCTTGATAAATGTGTACAGATTTTCAGTTCTCTTTACGTCCGTTGTGGCGCTGTTGTTCAAGTTTTCATACAAATTTTGACATTGACATTTCGCTCTCGCAAACTATTCGAATACGATAATGGTTTGTGCTAGGGGTACTGTTATATCATTCTCCCGCGTAGCATGAACACCGCGACATAATATATATAGCTTTTTCTTTCGCGTCGAATGGAAGCCAGACAGCCTGGCGCCGTAACGCGTTACGTAACGGTATACCATCCCATAACAAGTTTAATGAATTAACTACATACAGGGTGTAAAAAAACCTATGACAAAGACCTACACTGCGCATTTTATACACCCAAACAAGTAATATTCCAAAATATTAATTATATGTGGGAAAAATTTGTATTTTTAATTATAATTTCGTATTATATTTAAAGGATGTAATTCTTGCTTGATGTTTAAATCTAAAGAAAATATAACTAGAAAAAATTCCAAGCTTAATATTGTTTAATACTTGTAAAAGTATTCATTTGACATTGTGGGTTGCCTATAATGCGAAGAGATGGCGCTGCCTTGCAGCTTAAGAATGGCTAGAAGAATTTCGACGCGGTCCGTGAGGGCCGCGGTAGCATAATTGGTCAGTGCATGCCCCCGGATTGCGAAGGGTACGGGTTCGAGTCCCGTCTGCTGCCTGGTCCGCGTGGAATTTTTTTCTAGTTATATTTTCTTTAGATTTTAACATCAAGCAGTTACATGCTTTAAAAATAAAAATGTGTGCGTGTACTAGTGTACACACGTAAGAAGTGAAACTTCTTTATGGCCTTATTTTTTTCGAAAAATGATCTACATGCAACTTTCCAGAAATATATATATAGGCGTGCGCTAAGATTTTTCAAAAACTCGCCCACTAAAGGGGTATAACTACACCTTACCTTACCTTACCTCGTGTGAAACACGAATATTTGCTGTCGATACTTTTTTTTTTTAAAGTTGACAGAAGAAGCAATTGAAGCAAATAGTGCTCTTTTAAAAAAAAGATAGCGCGTAACCAAAAAACGTGACGCGTAACCGAATAAAAAAATGTGACGGTAAATTTTTTTCCAACGCCGATAAAGAAGTTTCACTTCAATAATAAAAATTATGAAAATAAAGTTATGATTACTTACTTTCCGTAGACGCTGCTCTTGCAGTAGGCGGTGTAGTGCCCCCCCTCCATGGAGCCGTAGTGGTTGGACACGGCGTACAGGTCGTACAGGGGGTTGGGCGGACAATGCAGGGAGAACTGGCGCATGTCCAACTCTTCTAACGGGAAATCTATGTACGTCTGTCGTTTCCTGGAACGATCGTGTGGATAAAAGATCATCAATCAGCCTATAAAGAGTGGACGCGAGCCGAGAGACATTTGAGAAATAGGACTCTTATAAACATTATTAAAAGACATCGACGAAATCGGCCCTAGAATGCACAAAAGAATGTCCTGCACTATTATTTTTTTAACTTATTAGCAATTTATCATAGTAAACGGACAATCTGTTTAACTAAATTAAAAGTTCTGTTACTAGATACTACAGTCTGTTCATCCAACTTGTCCTATTTGGTAAACAATCTTGGCACTCCTTTTTATTGAAAATACAGCATTAAAAATCAAGTAATAACTGGATTCAATGGGTTTCAGTCTTTAATAACGATTTATTTTAATAGTTTATTGGCTTCGTTAATATTTTATTATTAAATGGGTGATTTTGTTAAAAAGTGCCAAGATTGTTTACCTTAATCAATGCAATACAGGCGATCATAGGTATTTATCAACATAAAAATAGAACTAGGTGCCTTAGTTAATCCTTAGTTAATAATACTTATTACTAGTATTTATAATATTATATTTATAAAAAAGATTATTTCTGAAATTATGTAAAGATAGTTTATACTCCCATCCCATATAATATCTGTTTATTTTTATGAAAATTATAATGATAACCAGATACATACTTAATTACCCATAGTAAAATATAGAAACAGGTAAATGAAAAGACTTGAACATTTCATTTGAAAAGAAATCTATTATTACAACAGGTAGGTATAGGTGTCATAGGTGTCAACTGCCAACACTCATAAATCAATATGTCCTTTATTATTAACGTGGGATCATTTTCTACGATTTGTCAAATGCCCTATTTTGGATCTAACCGAATTAGATTGTGATATCTGTATTTGGATGAATTTGATTGTTAGTGCTGTAGTATTTTGAACGAAAAATGTCTGTGACTAGCAGCTGACGACAAGAACAAGATGGCTGCTCAACTTGAAAGCTTGATACTTAATACGCCACTCTGATAGGTTTTGGCACCGTTTGATTTTTACTTTTTGTGAATCTGACTGAATTTGATACCAATGTGACATTTCGAAGTGATTTTATAGGTAAAATAATACTAATTGTTATTCTTTACTCTGGAATATAAAACATAATCGGTTTGAAAACTATACAATTGACAAATATATGCCGGAAAATTATTAAATTATTATTGTAGTCCATTTGTATTCTTATAATGCGATTCAACTAAGAATAGGACCGACTGGGTGCCATATTTTGACGTCATAGCTGTTAATTCAAACCAAATAGGTAGAGTGAGCAAAAAAAGGAGTTTTATTTAATAAACTTCTAGTTAAGATTAAGTGAGAAAAAAAAACAGTTTTTTTTATTATAAAAATTACTAAGATTGAGAAAAAAAACAACTAATTTTTAATAAATATTTATTTACTAAGACTGTGTGAGAAAAAACATAAATCAGAATCTAGCTTTTCAATTCCGCTAATCTCTGCATTACCGCCGGAGTAGTTATGAGTGATTACTATTACTAAATCACATACGAACATGCATCCTTTAGGTAAACGAAAGTTTTAAATTGAGTTTCTAACCGCAACTTAAAGTGACATTTGGTTGACGGTTTAGGTTATCAACCATTCATAGCCAAAGCTCAATAAATGAAAAAAAATATCAACCAATATCAATTATCAATGTTTGTTATTGTTTGTGTGGTTTTTAATCTAGAATTAGCAGAGTGTTAAAAAAGGGTTCCAAGGTTTTTTTTGGAAACCGTACTTTTCAAGTGACATTTGACAGTTGGAGGTCATTGGCTTTCCTATTCTTATTTGAATCGCATTATACTTTGCTTATTTATTTCTAATTTACATTATTCTCATTTTGACATGTATTCTGATATAACATTACAGCCTTTAACACCATTGTATACATCCCGCCTGATATATCTTTCAAAATGTGACTCAGACATTAACGATATCACCCCCAATCTACCTTTGGAATCTGGAAAACTTATATCTTTTGCAGACTACACTGGTTTAATATTTGTATCTAAAGATACTTGGGAAAAAGCATTTGAATTAGCTCAAAATGTTCTTAATAACGTTTCAAAATGGCTTCGAAACAATTTACTTTCACTGAATACCGACAAAACAAATTATATATGTTTTTTTAAAACAAATATAAATAAATTTCTGATTTGCTATCAATCAAAGCTCACAAATGTTTGCAAGACAATATGGATAAATGCATCAAATTGATTAAATTTCAATTTCTATTTAGATTAATGCAAGTTTGACATTGTTGGAAATAATAATTAACAGTTAACTAAATGACATTGCATGTCAGCAGGACAGAATATGGCTGAACTTAATATAATTTGTATGATTGCATCCAAAACTAATCTGTATTCGCAATAAAAATGATTTGTATTTGTATTAAAATCACTAGTTTTGTAGTGCCATCAACGATATCAAATACCAAGAATCAATCAAGAAGTGCTTGAACACCACTCAAACACTTCTTAGTTCACATTCACGTTGAAATCTCAACATGCCGCAGTGCTCCGGAAAAATATGTGACAATATTTCTAATAGTATGTAATTTGTTTTTTCGACAGGTATCTAATCAATGTGACGATTTGACGACCTCCGTGGCCGAGTGGTTTGTACGCCGGGTTTCATGGTGTCGCCGACTCGAGAGGTCGCGGGTTCGAATCCCGGTGGAGGCGGATGTTTGTGTGATGAATACGAGCATTTGTACTCCAGTCGTGGATGTTTAAAATGTATTTCTATATAAGTATACTTATATATGTATGGTATATGTATTCTATCAGTTACCCTAGCTTCCCATACATGGTACACACACAAGCCTTATAGTGCTTACTTTGGGGCTAGCTTAGGTAATATAGCCGTCTCTTTTCTTCGAGATCCGTACCCATGCGCTGTTGCTATAATGCTAACACCGTATTCAGAATTGCGCGTACAGTAAGAGAAATAAGGTCTATATTATTCCGCATTTAGGAATAAGACGTAAAATTTTAAGAGTTTGCATTTCGAACTGGCATAACTCTTTGACGCATGCGTTTTAATTAAGACCTTATACAGTATACATTAAAGGTGACTTCTAATGCTTACATAATGCCTTATATTTTTTTTGACTACGCGATCATCTTACGGAGCTCCGTGGATCGTTCAATGTACCTTTTAGACAGGTTCCGGCAACGTTTTTGTTCGTGTTAGTTTATCTATGATATTTAATATCTTTTAATTTATTTTATTCAGTTTTAAATTTTGATATGGATCTCGTGTCTGAAATAAATGTTTTTATAATTATTCATTATATTAACTGACCTATACGCATTCTGTGAGTACTCCTTGGGGTCGACGTAGAACCTCTTGAAATGTATGACCAATACTGGTGGTAACCTGGATATGTCCAGCTTCTTGACCGCGTCGCGCTTCTGTTTGCAGTTGGGACAGTTCCAGCCGGGGACGGTCTCACCGTTCAGGTACAGTTTGAGGCAATCCTGGACAATCATGATGTTCAAATTAAAAAAATATAACAAATTATAAGAAAATATTACTAGAGAAAATTCCACGCGGACCAGGCAGCAGATGGGCCTCGAACCCTTTTTTTTTTCCGTGGGGGAAATGCCTTACACATACCCGCTCACTGAATACTGGTGAGCGGGTTATGTCGGGCTCTCCCCTGCCTACCCACTGGACGAAATGTAGCTTTCCCCTAGTCGGTAGGCAAGGGCCTACCGACTAAAACGCCGTCGGTAGAAAAATTCCACGCCGACCAGGCAGCAGACGGGACTCGAACCCGCACCCTTCGCAATCCCGGCGAATGCACTGACCAATAATGCTACCGCGGCTAACGCTAGAAAGATTTTGTAACGGCCATCAGGGCCGCGGTAGAATAATTGGTCAGTACATTTAAAGTATTTATTTTTAAGCATATTTCAAATATGCTGGAATTTGTTCGTTTTAAGTCGATTCAAACTCATACTAAGCTTTAAACAGGCAGCATTAGCCGGTAACTTGACGACTTTGTATGTATACAGGGAGAAAAAAGTAGCCCTTGTTGAGTTTCTTGCCAGTTCTTCTCAGTACAAGGCCTCCCGCCGTAGTTTTGCGAACCGATGGCGTAGCTTCTCGACCATCACAAGTGCTTGTAACAGCCTAGACTGAATAAATGATTTTTGAATTCCAGTGACAAATTTGAATTTGACAAGGTTTGTGGCAGTTTTTCGCAAACTGTACATCAGACTGTAGACTTGATTTGCCCGTAGAACAGCTTGAAGAAGAGTCTGTCTCTTGCTATGTAAAAATAAAACTCAGACACTCACACTAAGCGTGCATCTGGCAGCATTCGCCGGTAATTCCAGCGACAAATCTGAGAAAGACTCATAGTTTGTGGTAGTCTTTCCGCAGACTGTAGACATTATCTGTCCGTAGAACAACTCGAATGAAGCTCGCGGAGGTTGGGCCGGACTACTATTGCGACCTTGTGGGATCGGGGGCGAACTTCAGGCAGCTGCGGGATTTCGCGCGTAGATGGCACAGGATTCGGAGTGGACTCGAGGGAGACGAAGAGTGAAGACCAGAGGCGAAGGGTGAAGATTGAGTTTTGGAGACAGCGGGACCACTTCAGAGTGGGCACGGGACGGCTGGGATGGCGACGAAGCTGTTCCGTTCCAGAAAAGGGAGAGAGACCATAGGGACAAAGGAAAAGAGTAGGAAAGAAGAAAGATAAAGAATAATTTGTAGGGAGTCAAGAAAGTACCAGGCCATTCCGCACGTATCTCCCGCTGCTTCGGCCTGCATAACCAAGAAGGTTCGCCAGACCATGGGTGATCGGTGGGATTTGCCCATAGAATAGCTTGAAGATGAGTCTGTTACTTGGTACGTAAAAATAAAACTCACACTAAGGGTGCATCTGGCAGCATTCGCCGGTAATTCCAGAGACAAATTTGAGAACGACTCGTAGTTTGTGGCAGTCTTCCCGCAGACTGTACACCGGACTGTTGACTTGATCTGCCCGTAGAACAGCTTGAGGATCAAACTCTCCTTGGATTTTGTGTACTCGTGCCATGCTTTCTCTGAGGGGGGCAGGTTTTCCTAGTAAGAGAAAGAGAAATATCAAGAATGATTGAGAAATATTATAGAGGAAAGTATTTAGTTTTAATGTCCCCACTGCTGGGGCACAGGCCTTCCCTATGGATGGAATAGGGAGATTGGGCCTTGACCGACCACGCGGGCCCAGTGCGGTTTGGCGGGTGCTAACGACTGCAGATGCAGCCGGGACCAACGGATTAACGTGCCTTCCGAAGCACGGAGGAACTCGAGATAGAAGATTTTTGCTCTCCCATCTAATGACCAACCGCTGCGCAAGTTGCTTAACTTCAACGATAGCAGCTGAACGCGCTAACCACCTGCGCCATCGAGCTCCTCACTTTTAAAATTGTTTTACCATTAGCATGCTTTGTTATACTAAGTAACATAAGCTTTATTTAGTGAGGCATTCTTAAAAATAAGGAAGGCACCTTTTTTTCAAGTTTTGGTTTAAGGAAAATAATTTTAAAATATTATTTTATTGCTACGTAAAACTATACTCTATTCAACTTCCTCTAAGACAAAAGGTAAACGAATAAACCAATGTTTCTAAAACTTTATTATCGAGAGTAAAGATGGCCGATGTAACCAAGCTGATAACAAATTTTCACATTTCAACGTAAACGATTCGGTTTTTACTACTCTTCAATTTAGTAGTATTATAATGCGTTCAAGGTTTGGGAATAGCTACAGTTTTAGATTTTTTTGATGTCACTTTCAATTATGATTTTATATGCGTATCAAATTCGACCTATTAAAAATCTTTTTTTATGTTTTGTTTACTTTTTGCCACAGAAGAAGTTGAATAGAGAATAGAAGAGGAGGCAGCCCCCTCCAAGTTTATGCCCGTATGTAAGTATTTAGTATGCTCTTGACTTGACTTTAAACTCTTGTCTACATTGCTTTACCAATTATGGGTTTGTCAGATAAGATTTTTGAAGAGAAAACTTCTTTAGCGGCGTCGTACACTTTTTTTTGTATAGGTAAAAAATGTTACACTCGTGTCAGGTTAAACACGTGGGCTGATCGCATCAAGACACACAATAAAATTGGAAAGGTTTTTGACTTTCAACATATTGGACGAAACATAGATATAGGAAACATAGATATAGGACGAAACATAAGATGCGATTCGCGGTGGCTCTTTAATTTTATTAAATAAGGCACTTAAATTTAAGGAACGTAAAGATATTGTGAGCCTCTCGGTTGAGCGAACAATAGAGATTGCCTGTGTGGAACTGGACCAGCTTGTTGTATTAAGTGTATACAGACCTCCTTCAGCATTGTATGATTGTTTTGAAACTATTATGGATGAAGCTTTAGAAAAAATTGTCAACACTGGTAAACGATTAATTGTTTGTGGTGACTTTAATATTAATCTATTAGAAACCTCTAATTTGAGTATTAATTTAAGAAATCTATTTCAATCATATAATCTTGAAAACTTGTTCATGGAGCCTACTAGAATAACTGCCACTTCGGCCACTTGTATTGACAATATTTATACGGATATAATACCACATTCAAAAGTAATTGTTAATCAACTGGATAGTGATCATTGTGGCCAGATGATTACTTTTCCACATCCAAATAAAAATATCACCAAGAAATATATTACTATTATATTATACTTTTTACATTATATTACATTATATTACACTATAATATTTAATTTTACCGTATTATAATAATAATAGTCTCTATGTAGGACGTCCACGTGGCAGCTTTATTGCGAAGAAAATGCATTTTTTACAATAGATGTGGCTAGGTGCGCTTAAATGTGATTCATGTAAGTTGATTTACAATAGATGTCGCTAAGTGCGTTTAAACGTGATTCATGTAAGTTGATTTTTCTGAGATAAACTTTTTTAATGTAATATAAATTGTCATGTTTGTGTACTATAGCGCAATAAATATATACTGCATTCTACCACATACACGATAGTACTTTTATACTGATAATTAAAGCAATTCGTGCAAAATTATTCCCTAACCATTCCAAAATGTCAAAAATGCACAACGTTAATATTCAAGTTTTCACTTCTGCCGGCACTCCGTCATTTTTTTAAGGTATATACTGTTGGTCGTAGATGACCTCACCGGGGTCATCGGGTTTGGGGACGGCGAGATTCTAAGGGGACCTCAAGCCGAGAATTGGCGAGTGCCTCTAGAGGTATTCCAGGCGGATGGCTTCTCCCCACGGGGGGAGTCTCCTCTCCGTCTGGAGCCTCTAGACCACTCGAACCTGAGGGTGTAACAGATAAGAGTATTAGTCAGACTTGACACTAAATTGAACCGGATATTTGTGTCTTAAAACGGGAAATGATAGAAGACAGTAGTCTTCTATTGTTTCCCCGCCAAGCAAGAAATATCAGCATATGTATATATATATATATGTACCTGAAGAGCTCGATGGCGCAAGTAGTTAGCGCATTCGGCTGCGATCGTTGAAGAATATATAAGAATTTTATTTATTTAATTTTGCAAGAATTGTCACAAAGTGCGATTGTTTGATGAATTGTATAGTAAAGTACAGTGTTTGGTGAGTGTATTGTGATTAACATTGTGTGTTAACTGTGTGGTGAATAAAGGACTGTCAAGCGTGAACTGGCATATAATTTCGAACCCCATCCCGACACGTAACAGAATAATAGGGTATTTGACAAGAATTCTTGTGGCTAGCAGGGCGGCAGTTATACATATCTTATATATAAAATTCTCGTGTCACAATTTTAGTTACCATACTCCTCCGAAACAACCTGACCGATTTTTATGAAATTTTATATGCATATTCTGTGGGTCTGAGAATCGGCTACTATCTATTTTTCATATCCTTAAGTAATAATGGTTGTCTACCTGTAACGTTGTGTTCTGAAACCTACAATGCGCCTTCGCGCAAAAATTCAAACTATTAGGTATTGTAACGTAGTGCTCTCATATGGGTAGGAGGAATGTGATCCCAGGAAATTGATAGAACACTACGTTATACACCCTTAAAATTTTTTGGACCATATTTTTTTTTATAATGTGTTATTAAAAAATACATACAACCCTATATTTTCTCTTCTACCACCTGCCCCTTGTTTTATGGCGGTACGAAGTTCGCTGGGTCAACGAGTATATATATATATGTATATTTACCTTGTGTGGCACGCTGATAGTGAACTGTAGATCCAGATGTAGCCAGTCCATGAGTATGGTGAGGAACTCGTGCGAGTCTTGTTGCTCGCAGCCGCGGAAGGCGCGCTGGTGTTTGCCAACTTCGTTCTGTTATACAAACCAATTGTAAATCATAGTTATTTCTTATATGTTTTATACAAAGGCATAGTATTTAAATACTGGAAGAGTGACGAAAAGAGATATCATGCCCTTACGACAAATGACTCCACCCCACCTGATGTTAAGTGACGGTGAAGTCCAGACGCGAAGATAGCTGATACAGCAGTGGTTAGCGCGTTCGGTTGCGATCGCTGAACTTAAGCAACTTTCGCAGCGGTCCATCATTGGATGGGTGACCAATTTGCTGAAGTGAAACTTGTTTACGCACGCTTGACTTGGGGGGTAAGCTGGCGAGCGTTACGCGTTACGAAAAGTGTGTTCGGGCGAGGCGAACGGGAGTTGAGTGGGGGATATAAGCAAGAGAAAGCAGTGCACATTTTCTTTTTCTTTCTCTTATAGCTAGTAAATGAAATATGTATATGTACATACATGTATTTATTGTACACTCAAAGATCGAAAACGCTCAGTGAGCGGAAAAATAGCTCACAACGTGAGTAAAACATCCACATCGCGAAATTCATGTTATGGCTCTAATGAAAACGTGCACGACGCGTTGTGGCAATCAAGAAAAGCCATGACGTCAAAAGCCAAGTCGTGCGGTCATAAGCACACTCGTTTTTTTATTAATTATATTCATGTACATTTTTTTATAAATAAATATTATTATTAGTGTGATTAGCATTACCCTGAGCTCCTTGGTGGCGATGAACCGGTACTGTCCGGACCACAGCGCGCGCACCACCGCCGCCAGCTCCTCCGCGATGGCGCCGCGCGTGCTGTGCGACCTGGCGATGCCGATGCCGTACCCAACGGTCACATCATTTTGTATACACTACTAATACTCTACCAACGATATTAAATACCCTAGTTTCAAGTTTAGATAATAACATTTTTAATTAATATAATAGGATAAGTATTTGACAAGTTTTAGAAAACGATCTCACGTTATTGACTAATGTTTATGGAGTCCGTAAAAAGTGGATATTCATCATTCTGTTGTGTATTTCAGTAAAAATGACCAAATCAAAAACTCCATTTTCAAGTTGCCGCGAAAACGTTTCTTCGGACAATATGGCGTCTTACTAGTGTATGACGTCACACGACTGTTATTAAAACGTTCAAACGATACAATGTAATGTCACTTTAACCGGAAGTTTACTTGCGTGTGATGTCATTTTAGGCTCCGCCAATCCCAAGCGCTTTGAGTCACGTGACAATAGATAAGAAATCTTTTCGTGGGTTTTTAGTAGTTTTTTTTTTGTAAAAATAGTAAAATACCCTGCCAATATTCATTCTAAACACAGATGCTCACAATTGGCACTTTATTTTTAATACTGTCAAATACCCTATTATGTTATAATTTAGTTAATTAGCATAGCGGTGTTACATATAAACTGGAGGTTACTATTCCAGGGTATCTCTCTCACCTGTTCACGTGTTCCAGGTACTGGCCATTGCAGAAGTACGCGACAAGGATGGCGGTGTTGTTCAGGCACTGGATGATGGAGTTCATGTAGCAGGTGTTGCCCAGGTTCTTGAGGCCGGTCAGACCGCGACCCTTCAACCATTAAAAACATTAGATCTGTACTGTATCAAGACCATTTTGTAGGGAGCAGAAAAAAATAAAAAAATTAAATAAAATGTTTTTTTTAATCAAGTTTTTTTTTGTAGTGAAGATACCAGTCAGTCTAGGGGCCTACTCTCTTTCTTCGAAACGAACTTTCGATAACGAAGTTTAAACAAAATTTAATTTTGGTATTTAAGGTAATACATATTTTGAACTTAAACTATCAAATTGAAGCTTTCTTTGAATAGGCTTAGAAAATCACAATCTATATTCCGACGAAGAATATTCTTATAATAGGGATGATGACTATTTTTTTTTTCTTCGTTTATCAGGTAGATTATGAAAAAGTATTGGACAGGTATTTTTTCTTTTTTCACATAATATAAACATTGCAGAGATATATTGATTTGAAAAGTCGCATGACGTCACGTTTTGGTACAATTTTCACTTAAAAGTGACGTCACGAGCCCCTACCCCCAAACTTTGACGCGCTATAACTTTGTAATTTTTTGGTTGATTGCCCAAAGAAAAAATACGTGTCCATTATTTTTTGATCATCTAACTGACGGACTAAATAGAATTTTGTTTACCGTACCTCGTCATCACCCCTATAAAAACAAACCAGAAACAGTAAGAAAAGTGCGAAGTTACGATCGAAATTTCGTTTTTCGTTGAATTAGAGTAGGCCTCCAGGTGTCAGGCTGGCTTCGAACATGTTCTACTTTCAGGGCGGATGCACTAACCTCTATGCTACCGAGAACTCGGTGGCCGTGTCGAATTTATTGTGGATCTTTTAATATTTTGAAGAAAACACACATTTTGCATTGATTGGGCCTGTTAAATTGTCTGGAAACAATAATATAAGAAACAGAGATTGTCAGTCCATCATTCTAAGGCCAGTATTATAGAAAGATTCTCAGTGATTGATCTAGTCTTGGGCATAGTTAGAAAGGGATGTCGCTATATATAGCACATAGCGACATCCCTTTCTAACTGTACTCAAGCAAAGATCAACACTTAGTTGTCATTCTGTAATACGGGCCTAAATCTACTGTAACTGTTGATTGGCATGGGAAAGTATACAGTTCAATGTTTTTCTGTCGCTCTCAATGCAGGATAAAAACTAGAATCATATTATTACGTTAAACAATCGTGTTACATTGGGGGATACAGTTCAACCTTTTTTACGTGAAAATAAAGTTCATATTTCTACTTCATGTGAATTTAGTGTCACGACCTTGACTTTATGATATGTTATTGAATGCCGAACTGCCTTATGAAAAACATGGAATGCCCTTGTTATTGACTTCCCACGCAGATATACGGTACTAAACAACACTGAGGGTGGTTTCGGTTGGATTCGTGGGCGATTGACTGTCAAACTGTGTTTATTGTTTTCAAACAAAAACTAACATAGCGAATGCTGAATGCGACTTAGGCCCGTATTATAGAAAGATTCTCAGTAATTAATCTAGTCTTGAGCATAGATAGAAAGGGATGTAGCTATATATATAGTACATAGCGATATCCCTTTCTAACAGTACTCAAGTATAATGCGATTCAAATAAGAATAGGAAAGCCAATGAGCCTCCATCTGTCAAATGTCGCTTGAAAAGTACGGTTTGCAGAAAAATCTTGGAACCCTTTATTAGCACTCAGCTAATTCTAGAATAAAAACGAAACATTTGTAAACAAATAATAACAAATATTAATAATTAATATTGTTTAATATTTTTTTTCATTTTTTGAGCTTTGGCTATGACTGTTTGATAATCGAAATCGTCAACCAAATGTCACTTTAAGTTGCGTTCATAAACTCGATCTAAACTTTCGTTTACATAAAGGATGCATGTTCGTATGTGACCTAGCCATAACACATGATTATTCATAACTACTTCGGCGGTAATGCAGAGATGAGCGGAATTGAAGAGCTAGATTCTGTTTAATGTTTTTTTCTCACACAGTCTTAATTAATAAATATTATTAAAAATCGGTTGGTTTTTTCCTCTAACTTAATAAACAATTTTATTAAAAAATCTGATGTTTTTTCTCACCTAATCTTAGTTAATAAGTTTTAGTAAATAAAATCATTTTTTTGCTCACTCTACCTATTTTGTTTGAATTGACAGCTATGACGTCACAATATGGCGCCCAGTCGGTCCTATTCTTAGTTGAATCGCATTATAAAGGTCAACACTTAGTTGTCATTCTGTAATACGGGCCTAAGAGTTCTTTTTTTTTGCTCTGCCACCTCAATATAGATTAAAATGTGATAAGATTATATAATTAAGTATCGCACAACCAAAGCTTACGATATAATAAAGCATAAGTTTGGTGAAACTGTACTTTCTAGGCCCATCAGACGACACTTCACATTTTTTTTTTGAAAAGGTATCATTATCAATGATGTATATTTCTGGTTAGCTAAAAATATCTATCATAACATTAAAACTAAACTGACCTAGTGTGTAGTAACATTTCATGGACCTAGAAAGTACAGTTAAGCCTAATTTTTTAACAAACATTTTTAGTGTATCTAAAGTCTTCTTCAATTACTTTTATTCAAAAATGGTCATTAATTTTACTAATATTTACTTTTAATATATTATAGTGAGCCAAGAGACGTCGTCTTATATTCAAACGTGCGATTACTGCTATTCATTCAAGTTTAAAAGAAATTCTAAACCAACAATATGAAAGTTCCTTCAGTAAATCTAAGTTATTATGAAAATGCGGCACTTAAACATTTAATTTAATAAATTATTAATAATTGCTATTTTATTTAAAAGAATTATAGTTTCTTGTACTTAATTAATAAAAACGTAGTTATGAATGTAACTTACCCGTTTAAATAGCCAGACGATGTGATTCTGCGAGTACTTAAGCCTCACTTTAACCTTTAACACCATATTGGCCGTGTCCAAAGGAATACATCTTTGCTCGTAACGTAGAATCTTGACTTTTGATCGAAACTATTAATAGTTATTTTCAAACAAAAAATTTCACTTGTAATGTCACTTGGCACTTTTATGAATGACTTGTCCGTGTGACTGTCCAGCGATATTGTTATTTTTTAATTATTAAATCTTCGCGTTTGTTATATTCCTTTAACTGGATCATGCACAAAAACAACAAGTTTTAAATAGCTCTTCTACAGACAATTCCAAACACAATGCAAGTTTCAATGTTGCCGAAATTTATTTCAACAGACTTCGAAAATTACTCTCTAATAAGGCACAACAGTCTTGTATTTGGACAAAGGGAACACAAGCACTAACATTGCAATCAAATACAGTAAGAAAACCGTCGATACCACTGTCGCCAATGCACGCAACATGTCAATGTAGACCGTACTGGCCTCACAGTAGGTTGATTTTTGCCTGTATTGAAATCGATCTATTTGGACGACGTAAAACCGACTGTAAGTTTAGGTTCTATTTTTTTAACTCTAATTTGTTTATTTGGTAACTTCGTTTAGTATTTTGGTAGATTGCGAGTTATTTTTATGTACGCTTGGATTGGTTTAAGAGTATTTCTTTATATATTTCCCGGTGACAGTAAATAAGTAGTGCCGCGGCGTCCATGCAGAGCTTTGTCGCGGTACGTCCGCCCGTGACCATAGTTGTGGCACAACTGACTCACGTGGCGTGGCTGGGTGGTGGGGAGTGCCAGCTTAGGGGTTGCGGTGGGGGTGGGTGTAAGGTTGTCGTACTTTATTATTTTTCGTTACTCAACCGAGATAAATGCAACAGACAACGTCACATACATCCATTGACTAAGTAAACACAATAATTGAATTTTAGATTTTATTTGTTTTGACTTTTTGCGACTCTTATGACATTTACATGTATATACATATATATAAATATTTATCTTATGATATTTTGACGACCACCGTGGCCGAGTGGTTTATACGCCAGGTTTCATGGTGTCACTGACTCGAGAGGTCCCGGATTCCCCCGAATCCCGGTGGGGGCAGATGTTTGTGTGATGAATACGAGCATTTGAACTCCAGTCATGGATGTTTAATATGTATTTCTATATAAATATACTTATATATGTACAGTATATGTATTCTATGCGGTATAGTACTTACTTTGGGCCTAGGCTAATTGGTGTGAGAGACGGAAATATTTATTTATTTATACGTCCAATTATATAATAAACTTACAGGAGAGACTAGAAGTAATACACCTATGACTTTCCGACTCGCAGCGGAATGAAACTCTTTTAGTTTTACTTCAAGTTTAGGCATAAGTAGGGTTACTATTTGAAAATTTGAAAAGTCCTGTCAAAAAGCCGGACATTTTAGTCACAAAATGCAATCATCACCCACTTCGTTACAGTGATATTATACGCGTGGTAGCAGACGCTCGCATCGCGACGGGGGTCTCGTTGATGATTTTTAAAGATGATTTATTTTTTGTTTTAAATTAATGAGAACTTAATAAAGATTATTTGATTTATTTGATATAACTTAATAAGTGTAACTTTATTCATATTATACTTAATTAAAAAAAATGGATGCGTGTAACTTATGTACGCGCGTGAGAAGTTATACTTCTTTAGCATCATTAAAAATATTTTTAATTGCATGCAAATAATTAATAATTACAATAATATAATAAAAGGACTGGAAAAGGATAGTTAACACAGTCAATTAAGTTCAGTTTTAATTTGAAAAATTAAATAAATATTCAAAATGTTCAATTAAAATCACTACTGAATTTAAGTTATTAGTCCATATGTAATTAGCACTTGTAAGTAACTAAAACACGTTGTGACTATATAGAAACTAGAAACATGTGGATAAATATTATAAATATGAAAACAGTGATCAGAGGCGACGAGCGTGCCAACATTGTTTTGAACAACGCGATCATCTTATGGAGCTCCGTGGATCGTTCAAAGTACCTTTCGAACAGATGTCTAATAATGGTGGATTATTAACCACTTAGTGGTTAATAATCCACCATTATTAGACACTAACATTCATAACGCGCCCGCGGCCAACTTCATGGTGTTACTATTGTGTTACAGTGATGCGCGCGCATCTAAAAATTTCACTCTCATCATTTTTTCATAACGCGCCTAAAGAAGTATAACTTCAAAAATCCGGACAAAGTACGGACAAAAGGTAAGAAGTCCGGACATGTCCGGACAAATCCAGATGGATGGTAACCCTAGGGGGGTGGGCAGGGGTAGTATTAGCCTCAGCATCGTTCACTCAGTCTTGTGAAAAATATCGTGAACTTTTACGATTAGTTGGCGCGCGCTAATAACATAATTAATTGACCTGCTGTAATTTATCGAGCTTTGGAGGACGCGTGTGAACATTTCTCGCATTTATTATTTATCGTTTTTTCTTTTTAGCTTTATCAATAGCATTTGCCAGAGGAACGACATGAATTGATATTCAATGTAAGATTTCCTCTGTGATGACTTTTTCATACTGTACTGTTATTAATGCTTCCATATACATCTTTTTCCGTACCCTTGACCTTGAAAAATCAAGCCAAATAGTGGCATATAAAATGACAAGACGTTTAGAGAAACTCGACCTTACGGCTAGGGCAGTTTGGGCGACGTGGTTTGGGCGGGCGGGCGGTAGGTCACGGCCAACGTTCGCTTTCACCACATGAGTAAAGAAGGTACAGGGGCAAAACTTGCGTAAACACGCTCAAACGAGCGCACTGGAGAATTAGAATAGGGTATTTGACAGTATCAAAAATAAAGTGCCAATTGTTAGCATCTGTGTTTAGAATGAATATTGGCAGGGGTCTTTACTACTTTTTACAAAAAAATATATTCATAATTTTACTAAAAACCCATGAATTAGATAATAGTTTTCTTATCTATTGTCACGTGACCCAAAACGCTTGGGATTGGCGGAGCCTAAAATGACGTCACACGCAAGTAAACTTCCGGTTAAAGTGACATTACATTGTATCGTTTGACGTTTTAATAACAGTCGCGTGACGTCACACACTAGTAAGACGCCATATTGTCCAGTAAAACGTTTTCGCGGCAACTTGAAAATGGAGTTTTTGATGTGGTTATTTTTACTGAAATACACAACAGAATGATGAATATCCACTTTTTACGGACTCCATAAACATTAGTCAATAACGTGAGACCGTTTTCTAAAGCTTGTCAAATACCGTATTAATATGGAATACGAACTCAGCTAAAACTGATGGTCCCACAAACTGCCATCAAGTGGGCGGGGCGAAAAAATGCGATCAACACCACGATCACAGGATTGGTTGGGATTTGCCTTTAACATTGTCTTACCCAATGAATAGATAGCCGAATTCATTCGCAGATATTTGATTTATTTATGTATTTTGCGTGTCGCGTTAGTCTTGTAGTTTTGTTGTTTGGAGTTTGGAGCCATGTTTTAGCGGCTTCTGTTAGCGAGAAATGCTTCCATATCATTTCTAATTCGTTGGCAGAACAGTACACTTAGTACAAGTTTGAGCTCGCGAAAACTATCGTTTTCGTAATTGTGAATTGTTTCTGTGTCCATTTTGGTGAAATGTAACCGAATATATATATATATACTAGCTGACCCAGCGAACTTCGTACCGCCTTAAAAAAATAGGGGTTGTCCAGCGGACAAAATTGTGAATCTAAACCATTCTCAGATCCCCTTGAACACACACAAAAAATTTCATCAAAATCGGTCCAGTCGTTTAAGAGAAGTTCAGTGACATACACAATCACAGAAGAATTATATATATAAAGATGTATATACTAGCAAACCGGTGAACCAAATGTTCACCAAAACCCGATTTAAAAAAAAATGTATTTAATTAATTGAGAACTTCGGAGATTTTGTGTGGTTTCGTTTGAAATTCGTGATTTCTCGAAAACCGGAAGTGCTACGTTACTCAAATCCGGTTTGTAGTCTTATTAGACTATTCTTAACTTATAACTTAAACATTCTCTTTATCTATCTCTTACGGTTTGGCTGCTGAAACAGCACCACAGACAGACGGACGGACGGACTTGTCTAATAGATAAGAATACATATAATATACCTAAAATTTAAGAAGACGCAAATGATTTAATGATTGAATTTAAGCACTGCTTATTTGTATTGAAACGAAATCAATAAAATCAGTACCTTTAGTACGACTGCGAGGTCACGAAAACTATCATAGTTTTCGTAATTGTAAAACTCGTACTAAGGGTACAGGCCGCCAGTGTTCACACACACACACACACACACACACGCGCACTGCTTGTAGCAACGTGACCTCTCTGAAAGCACCACTTTACGTATGATTGATGGAGCACCACCTAGCTTTATAAACCAGACAGCGTACTATGGACAGCATAACGAGTATATACACTTCAAATAAGAATAGTGCTTTAAATAAAACAAATTTAAACGGTATAGATGCACGAATTTATTTATTTATTGACGTTTCGCATTCTTTTCAGGATCATCATCATCATCATCATCATCAGCCTATTAATGTCCCCACTGCTTAACGTGCCTTCCGAAGCACGGAGAAGCTCGAGATAGTAATTTTTGGTCACCCATCCAATGACCGACCACTGCGAAAGTTGCTTAAGTTCAACGATCGCAGCCGAACGCGCTAACCACTTGCACCATCGAGCTCCTCTTTTCAGGATGTGTCGTCTGAATTATTAATCATTTTCAGGATGTGTCATCTGAATTATTAATTACGGTGTAAATGCATTAATAATTCAGACGACACATCCTGAAAAGGGTTAATAATTCTATTGTTTTATTTAATGAGTGGTGTGCGTGAAAACCTAAGAAACAAATAGTGGTTTCGTTGGTATGCAATTTTAGGTACTATTTTAACAGCTGACAGTTCTCTGTATTTACGCTTTTAACTAATAGCGCGGGACTCACTGCAACGAAATAAAATAT